TTGATTTTTAAGTTAGTGTTTTTCATTTGGTCAAATATAAATGTTTGAGTTCCATAAATATTTATAATAATAGTAACTGTTTATATTGTCAATATTCAACTTGAAAATGAAAATTTAATAAATAATAATTTAGGGCTAATAAAATCAAGATTTTTATATAATTTCTGAAATTTATGTTTAGACTAGGCACTAAAAATAAATTTACTGTGAGTTACTGATATATACAACATAAATAATAACAAATTTCAAGTAGCTTTTTTTGAAAAACAAAGTAAAATAAATGCTAAGACAGTTATATTTTTATAATATATATACAAGTTTTCATTTAATATAATTTATAATATTGCATATTAAATATTTAATAATCATAAAAGTTAAATCAACATTTGTTGTATAAGTAAAACACAATAAAAGTACAAGCTAAAATTTAGATAACTTTTCTATCTACTAAGGAAATGTTTGTCCATACAAGACAGAGAAAAGCATCTAATAAATGCTGTCTTATCACCAATTCAATTCTCAGGTTACTTCCCTTTTAATAGCACCTCAATATTCTGGAATGAAATAATCGATTTTCTCGTAGAGTTGTCATAATATGATTTATATTACTAGGAACCAACTCACAGTGTATAACTTTTTGAGTTTTGATTTTGAAAAGGACTGTTTAAATTTTTTAATGTGTATAAATGTTATGCCTGCATGCATGTATGTACACATCATACATACAGGTAAGTATCCCTGGATATTAACAGATAGTGTTGGATGCACTAGAACTGGAGTAGCAGGAAGTTCTGAGTCACCATGTGGGTTCTGGAAATGAAAACTAGGTGCTCCTAACTGATGTGCTCTCCCTCTACCACATTTTATTCTAATGATCACTGTGATCCTCTGGTCAAGGAACCTGTGCTATGCCACATATCTTCCTTGTCCCAATTCTCAGCTACTCCAGCTTCTCCATGAAGCCTTCTCCATCTGGATCTGTTTACACAATGTCTACATCTGGAAAATAAAGTTTCTTCTGTTGATAAGTATCAAAGTTTGATTTCTAAATTTCTTTATTTCATTTAAATAAGTTCCCTATAACATGGAATGGTGTGGTATTTAAGATTATATTTGTGTGTATATGTGTGTTTGTGTGTGTGTGTGTTAATATACACATACACACATATATACATATCTAAATGTAGTTATAGATATGAGTATGTATATCTTTGCTGACTATCTTCAAAGTAATAGAAGAGCAGTTAACATGTGTTTTATATAAAAGTTAAATTTGATTTTTAAATGTGCTCACCTAACTAAAAATTAATTCTCTCCATAGTCATTGAAATGTTAAATCATACAACCTCCCAATAGAAGTAGTATTTTTTCTTATCTTCAAGCAAGACTGAAAGACTCCATATTCATATCTTACCTGAAACTTATCCAAACTAGCTGATATAGAGTTTCATATCTATGGAAAACTTGAGTGACAAAAGCAGGTTTAATAGTGAAATGAAATGCATTTTAACATGTTATAACAAGTACTTTTTAGCAAATGCAGGAATATGATTCTTTTGTATAAAATATGATATCAATTTTATAAAAGACTGATAAATTTGAAATATTTTGTTTACTTAGGTACTGATTTAAATATAAAGAAAATCTAACTGTTCCCTAGCACTTGCTTTTTTAACTTTTGCTCACTTAAGTTCATGTATTCGTGGAAATTCTTATTGTCATTTGAACTCAGTTTGTTGTGTCCTCCTGCTGTCTCTTCTTCACCTATCGTCATACTCTTCTTTCTCATACTTAGCTTTCTAGTAGGTATGTTATACTTTCGTTTTCTCTGTAAGAATTCTCACTAGGTTTTTCGTTGTTGCTGTCCTTGATTTCATTCTGAGGAAATCATCATAAACTACTAAAGTGGAGATGATCTATAAATTTCAAGTAATTAGGTTTCTTTTATAATAGTTTTATTTTTGAAAGTTTCTGACAAGAAATCTCAATCTTTCTTTCTTCCCTCCAACCTCTGCCTCTTCTCTCTAAATTTATATTATTTTTATTATTGTCATATGCATATACACATATGCATATAGACCTACTGAGTCCCTTCGGCTTTACTCACACGTGCATATGTTCAGAGGTGACCTCTTGGAATTTGGTAACCTATGTGTGAGCTTCTCCTTGGAGGTGACTGATTCTCCCTCTCACAGTAATCACTGCTGTCTATAGTTCTTCATCTGACGTGGAAGCATATAGAACTTCTCATGTCATATCAACTGCATTTGTCTTTATACTTGTAATATTTAGATGGTCATATTGCAAACAGTCCAGTGGTGCATATTATCTGTTGTTTATAAGGAGCACACTCTATTAACAGGTGTTTTGGACACCTTCCTCTTATAATATTTACACTCTCTCTTACATTTTTCCCTTAGAGTGGTGCAGATATATTCTTTGGGTTTGGACTCCCTACAATCAACTTATTTCTTTTCTTCTGCTCAGATGTGAATTTTTGAAATTGTCTCCATCAGTTGTAAAATAAACTTTGATCATGTGTCATGTGAACTATATTTTTATGTGGATGTAAGTTTTCACATTAGAGAACAGCTGATGATATTTTCTTAGAAACTTGAAGAAGTAGGATCTCCCTTCAGGTCTTAGATCTCTGCACTCATAGTACTGGCTGTGAATTGTCACCTATGAGTGGTACTTTCTTTAATTTGGGGTGTGCATCTGTGCATATGTAGTGTATTTGAATGTGTTTGTATGTGTGCTTACTTATGTGGATGCCTGAGGGTTACATGAGATTGTATTCCTCAAGTACTTCTAATTTTTGAGCCACTGTCAGTCACTGAAAATGGGGTCTTATTTTCTTGGATAGAACGCTGGTCAGTGAGATTATACATTTCACCTGTCTATCTCTCACAGTTGTATTGTTGACAAGCTTCCAGGCTTGTCTTTTTACACAGCTCCTACTCTTTTTCACTCAGTTCTTCAAGCTTTTGTTTTTCACATTGCACTACTCCCTCGCTTCACTTCCTCTCTCCTGTCTACTCAGCCTGACTCCTCATGTTCTCATCCTCACCAGCTCTCAGTCCACTCATGAAATCTCTTCTATTTCCCTTCAGACATTCTTAAAAACAAAGATACTTTATTATTAGTTTAAGCCCCTTATTTGTTTTTATGTTTTGTAATGTTAAACCTCAGACATATGCTAAATAAGTCTTCTAGTCTTGTGCTACACTCTCTTGCCCATTAAGCAGCTTTAAAAAATATGCTGAGTGCTAGAAAACTAGCTCAGAGGGTAACATGCTTCTGCACAATGTGAGGACTTGAATATGAATTCCAAGCATGTTAGAGCATGTCTGTAATTCCAGCACTCTTATAGTGATGTGGAATGCAGAGAAAAGAAAGTGCCCACATGTTTGTGGGCTAATTAATCTTTATTATACAGGTGTAAATAAATGAAATATATCTCAAAAAAGGAAATAGTGAGGATCAACACCTGACACCGTCCTCTGACTTTCACATGTGCACTGTTGCTTGCTCATGTCCATTCTCTCTCTCTCTCTCTCTCTCTCTCTCTCTCTCTCTCTCTCTCTCTTTCTCCTTCTCTGTATCTTGCTCTCTCTCTCCCCCGTCTTCCTTCCTATCCCTCCACTTACACTTTAAAATAGGTTGAAAATAATAATTCTCAAACAATAATATAGTGATGTGTTAATTTTCAGCCTTCTATAACTTCCAAAAATTCAAGCCAAATCAGTAAAAATTACTAAAAACATTTTGGGTTTCAGCAGAGAAATAAAAGCACTTCACCTTTTTTGGGGGTGGGGGCTGGAGAAATGGATCAGTAGTTAAAAGTACTGGATGACTTACAAAGAACATGGCTTTGATTTCTAGCACTCACATGGTCATTCAATGCATTCTGTAACTCCAATTCCAGGGAATCTAATGCCCTCATCTAGTCTTCACAGAAAACAGGCACATACAAGGTATATAGGAATGCATGCAGGAAAAATATCCACACCCACAAAATAAAAATAAATATTTTTTATTAAAAAGGACTGTTTACACTTTTGTGATACAAATATATATATATGTATGTATGTATGTATATATGTATATACACATATATGCATGTATGTGTGTATGTATATCTATGAATAACAAAAAGCGAAACTAGTTCTTTTACCCCATTTTAGTTCAAGTCTGGAAGCCATGAGAGGTAACCTGTTCTCAGTCTTGGGGTCAATGTAGTTAGTGAGGTCTCCATCAATTTGCTTGTATTAACAATGGAGAATGCATTTATACTGTCTTATACTAAAGGCTATTTTATTGCTCTCTTTTTCTTTTCAGAGAAACTCTATATTTCAACATTTGCTTGTATTTTTATGTAGGAAGAAAGTCAGGGATGTTAAACTGTTTTCTTAAATCTTTGTTCATTGCTGAAAGCCTCACATCTGCATTTTTGTCTTTAGTTGTAATACAGAGTCCAGGTTCAGTATTTAACACTTGAAAGTGGAACATACTTTACTACAGAAGCTTTAAACCTTTCTACATGGCATGGCATGTATGATTTCATTAAATATCTGAATTTCATGACAAGGACCAGGCATTTCTTCAAAGAACCTGATCATATTCTGTAATCCATTACCATCTGGCATTTCACATGCTAAACTAGACACAAAAGATTTATAAATGACTGTTTTCCTTAACAAAAATTAAGAAGTTCAAATCTCCCTTTGTGTGGCATGGCCTTGAAGACATTATATTTATTCTGAATTAGCCCTTTAATTTGTTCTATCAAATGTTTTGGAGGTTAAACCAAGACATCAGTAGTGAACAGGTTTGGAAAAAAAATTAATGTCTAAAAGCACTCCGTTTTGCAGCAACTGTTTGCAGTTTTAGCACATCTGTAGATTGAATTCCTGTGAAACAGGGCTGCCAGCCCATTTCCCTACTGGGGGATGGTCCTCCACTTGCTGACATTTTCTCTCTGCCTTCTCACATTTCAGTGCTGATCCTTCTCATCGTCACTATGAGAAGACGGAAAAAAGAGTCTCTCATTTTTGACGAAGAAAGGGATATTAGAGAAAACATCGTCAGATATGATGATGAAGGTGGGGGAGAAGAAGATACTGAAGCCTTTGACATGGCGGCGCTGAGAAACCTCAACGTCATACGAGACACCAAAACCCGCAGAGATGTGACTCCTGAAATTCAGTTTTTGAGTCGACCGAATTTAAAAAGCATTCCAGATAATGTCATTTTTCGGGAATTTATTTGGGAAAGACTGAAAGAAGCTGACGTGGATCCAGGAGCTCCTCCGTATGACTCTCTGCAGACCTATGCATTTGAAGGAAATGGCTCGATTGCTGAATCTCTCAGTTCTTTAGATTCTGTCAGCTCAAACTCTGATCAGAATTATGACTACCTAAGTGACTGGGGGCCTCGCTTTAAACGACTGGCTGATATGTATGGAAATGGCCAAGAGAATTTGTACTCATAGCCTTGGACAGTAAATTTGAAATGTACTGAACAAAAAGGCAGCAGAAAAATAAAGAAATAAGTTTAAAAGGGAAAGAAAAGGTCGAAGTATTACATATAGGAAGCAAGAACATTCACTTGTTGGACAAAAGAAGTTGTAAATATGTCTTCAATTTTATCAACTAAGGTTTCTGACTTGGTGAACCCTTCACTAGATTATCAAAAGGATTTCACTGATCACAAACTCTGGGAATTTGAAGTTATTTATTATTATTATTATTTGATAAAAAGAATTATTCAATGTTTTGTGAATAGATAGCAACTCTCATACTTGCAAAGGCACCTGTCTTGCCAGCTATGTCCTGTGTTATCAGTAAACCAATGCTGCCCTGCACATACATTTATGGTACTCTCTCAAAAGAATAGAGCATGGTGTGCCATCAAAAAATACTCCAACTTCTTGCTCATCAAAACTTTGGAGAATTTTATTCCTACTGAAGCTTTTAGACTTATTATATGATAGAGTTCAAAAGAATTTTAATGTTGTTTGTGAGCAGAAATATTTTATTTCATTTAGCAATGTTAAAATCCTCATAATAACTTTCCTAAGTGAAATCCTCAATAAAAGCCAACAGAATTTTATTTAAGGCAACACAAATCACTGCTTGCCAATAAATTATAAGAAGTGCTCCCAACAAGGGAAAGATAAATAATTCTTGAATTTTCAAGTGGATTTGAATTGCTCATGTAGGTATGATTTTAAACAATAGTTGCTATCTGTTCTTTAATTTTTATTTTCTCTTCTGATTTGTACAGGAGAATATATTTTTAACTTGACACATAGTGTTGTGTTTATTTATGAGTGCTAACCTCCAATCTGTTCAGGTTCATCTTACTGTTTCATGAGATTAAATTCATCAGCACAGGAAGGAAATGAAGCATGGAAATGGAGAAATAACTGCACAACAATTGATTCTCATTGCCACTCAAATCTCAAAGAAAAACATTGCTCCAAGGATGTACAAATTTTTCTTCTGAGTCATTGGAATATACAAAACTGGGAGAATAAAATATTTGTATTTCAGGAAGCCTTTTGAGAGAGTTGAGATTTTCTTTGTTGCAGGAATTATTTTCCAAAATCATGATTCTATATGCTCCAAAAACTTTTCAAAGATCTGTTTCCCAGCTTTTTTTTGTTGTAACACTTGACTAAAATATTGAGATTGAGATTTTGAATATATTTAAAAATGTATGACACTATAGATCTTCAACCCATTGTGTAATTTATGGTTTAGATGTGCCAAAGGGAGGGTAGAAATTTCAAGTAATCATATGAAGTATATGTATTAGAATTAGGTGACTTTTAAAAATAATAGTATTTCTACTTATTTTTCCTAAATTAATACTAGTTTATTGTGCATATAATCAAGTAATAATGAGTTTTTTTCCTTACTTTCTTCTTTCAAAATTAATTCATTTTGTGTTGTGAGAAAACCTACAGTTGAACACTGTATATGAATTGCATTCTAAAAATCATCCTTCTGATAAGCAGAATTTAGAACTGAAATATTATGTTGATTAAGTGAGGAAAAGTTATGTAGGATGCTGTAACTTGCAGTCCATCATTAGAAATGTAGTATGTGAAAGAGGCCTTCAACTTCATATTATCAGTAATTCAATAAATTTGATTGTATCCAAACAGACCTTTAGTTGAATAAGTTGTTTAGATGCTGTCCTATGACTAGAAAGCTACTACACTTCTTGCTATTTGAATAAAATTTTATCACAGAGTAAAATGTCCTGTTCATAACTTTTATACATATATAAACATTTATAAAATTAAAACAAATTTTATACTTACATAGTTCAATGAAATTAGATTGTGGTATTGGAATCATATAGATGCTGAATTTGCAAAGTGCTGAGAAAACAAAATGAAATAGTTATTGCAGGGGATAATGATGTCAAAGCTTCTTATTTTCACACATATTACAAAATAGTTGCTTTTTACAATGGGAAATTATCATTGTAATGCAAATTTTTTTCACCTTGAAAAGTGGAAGGATTTTATCCTTAAATTCTGTTAATCTATTGCTAGTGCCAGATTGAGGAAAGAATAATGGTTCTACTTTATATAATGGTTTAAAATAGTTTGCATATATCACAATATTGATTTGTTTCTGTGATAGTTTTGAAATTTTTGAAGATGGACAAAAGTTCTTATCATCTGTAGAATTTTTATGACACTCCAAACTTAACAGCAAAGAGGTAAATTTGTAATTATATTTTTAGTTATCTTTTATTTTCTAAAAGATATATCTAATGCTATATTTGGCATAGTATTTCACAGGTAAGAGATTGCACCAGTTTATTGGAGAGGAATTATTACATGAATTAAGAAACTTTCTAAAGTTTATTTAGATACATATTTAGTATTTAGTGGTTAAATGTCATTGTACTTTAAACAGTCAGAAGTAGCTTAAGAGCCAACATGTGTTTTATTCTCCAAATTCACTTACATTGATATGATTTTGATGTGCATTTGATCTGTTGGTTTACTTTTTATTTTGGGGGCAGGGTCCTATCGTATAGCATAGCGTTGCCTCATCTTAATCACAATCCATTTTTCTCAATCTCCGGTCAACCGGATAAAAGTTTTATGTGACCAAGTTGATTTCTAAATCCCTGACAATTTCTTAAAGCTAGAACTCATAGTTATATTATGAATAAAGATAATATCAAATAAAGATTATAAAAGATGTACTGACTTACATAAGTAAACACAGATGTAACCATGGAAGTAAGTGTGGACTAAAAGTGTAAAATACTTAATCATGATAATCACTTTCTTAAATATTGAAATAGTGTACATTTTTACAAAAAAAAAGTTCACCATGTGCCAAGTAATCTTTTGGTAAAGCAAAATTTTGGATAATTTTAAAGCATAATAAAAATATGTACCATACCCTGGAAAATACACTTTTGTCAGCAATAAAAATCATGAATGAAATAAAAAAAAAATGTTGAGAAGTATAGATCAGTGTACCAATATTTTTCTCAGTGGACCTGTCTCCCTATTCCTTTGTTATTCCTTTGCACTCTGGGACAGACTGCAGGAGAGGCTGGGTCCAGAATATCGGGATATACAGGATTATATAATGATAGTCAGCTAATAGGTTTACCTTCCATAAACATTCTCAAGCACATTAACTCTCAACAAACTCCATTTATACTTGACTTGGGGAAGAACAGGCACATACAATTGTTCCTCATCAACAGGAGAGTTGCAATGAACAACATCTGTAAAATGACTCACAAATGGAAATGGAAGCACCAACAAAGTGTTATCATTACTATTCAAATGTTAACTTGGAAGAAGCTGAAAATAAGCTGGTAAGTAAATGGTATAAGGGAAACAATTCAGTTTTAGCATTTTCAAATTCTCTAATCACTTGGAAAAATAATAATCATGACATTTCAAATTTAACCTGGCATCTGTTGGCTTACACACTGTTACAATTGTCTTAATTGGTTTATTTAATCACCATTTACAAGTTTATTGATAGTTAATTTAATTATAGTTGATTAAATCTTCATCTTAACTCTTTCATGGCAAAGATAGATGAAGGCAAGTAAAAGGGGTAATAATTTTTTTCTTTTTTTCTTTTTTTTATTAATTTATAAAAATTTCCACTTCTGCCCCTCCTCCCAATACCCTCCCACTCCCCCCACTCCCTCTCCTCCTCCCTCTCCAGTCCTAAGAGCAGTCAGGGTTTCCAGCCCTGTGTGAAATTCAAGTTCCTCCCCCCTCCCTCCAGGTCTAGGAAGCTGAGCATCCAAATAGACTAGGATCCCAAAAAGCCAGTACATGCAGAAGGAACAAGTCCCAGTGCCATTATCAATGGCTTCTCAGTCCCCTTGTCAGCCACATTCAGAGAATCCGGTTTGATCACATGCTCGTTCAGTCCCAGTCCAGCTCGTCTTGGTGAGCTCCCATTAAGTCAGTCCCCTTATATCAGTGGTCTTGACTTCCTTGTTCATGTTATCCCTCCTTCTGCTCCTCATTTGGTCCTTGGGTGCTCAGTCCAGTGCTCCAATGTGGGTCTCTGTCTCAGTCTCCATCCATCGCCAAATGAAGGTTCTATGGTGATATGCAAAATATTCGTCAGTATGGTTATTGGCCAAGACCAGTTCAGGTCCTCTCTCCTCTGCTGTCCAGGGAACAATCTGGGAATCTGTCCTTGGACCTGAGAAGCCCTCTAGAATCAAGTCTTTTGCAAACCTTAAAATGGCTCCCTTAGTTGAGATATATACTTCCCTGCTCCCATGTCCATCCTTCCTCCCTCCCCCCCAATCCATTCCCCCAAGCTTTCCCCAATCCTCCCCTTTTCCCTTCTCTCTAACCATCTCCCCTTCCTTCCAGACCTCCCACCTCCCCCCACCCCCCCGCCGTGCACCCAAGGTTGCCTGGCAATCTTGTCTACTTCCAATATCCAGGAGGATGACTATATGATTTTCTTCAGGTTCACCTTCTTATTTAGCTTCTTTAGGCTCACGAATTATAGGCTCAAAGACCTTAAATTATGGCTAGAATCCACTTATAAGTGAGTACATACCATATTCCTCTTTTTGTGTCTGGGTTCCCTCACTCAGTAAATCGTTTTCTATTTCCACCCACTTGCATGCAAAATTCAAGATGTCATTGTTTCTTACCGCTGAGTAGTCCTCAAATGTGTATATATTCCACATTTTTTTAAACCATTCTTCTATTGAGGGGCACCTAGGTCGTTTCCAGGTTCTGGCTATTACAAATAGTGCTGCTATGAACAAAGTTGAACAAGTGCTTTTGTGGTATTATAGCGCACCTCTTGGGAATATTCCAAGAGTGGAATTGCAGGGTCCTGAAGGAGGTTGATTTCCAGTTTCCTGAGAAATCGCCACACTGATTTCCACAGTGGCTACACAAGTTTGCATTCCAACCAACAATGAATGAGTGTTCTCCTCACTCCACATCCTCTCCAGCATAGGCTATCATTAGTGATTTTGAGTTTAGCTATTCTGACAGGTGTAAGATGGTATCTCTTAGTTGTTTTGATTTGCATGTCCCTGATCGCTAAGGAGGTTGAGCATGACCTTAAGTGTCTTTTGGCCATTCGAAATTCTTCTTTTGAGAATTCTCTGCACAGTTCAGTACCCCATTTTTTAATTGGGTTAATTAGAGTTTTAGTGTCTAGTTTCTTGAGTTCTTTGTATATTTTGGAGATCAGACCTTTGTATGATGGGGGGTGGTGAAGATCTTCTCCTACTCGGAAGGTAGCCTTTTTGTCTTACTGACAGTGTCCTTTGCTTTACAGAAGTTTCTCAGTTTCAGGAGGTCCCATTTATTCATTGATTCTCTTATTGTCTGTGCTACTGGGGGTCTACCTAGGAAGTGGTCTTCTGTGCCTATGTCTTGTAGACTACTTCCCACTTTCTCTTCTGTCAGGTTCAAAGTGGTCAGATTAATGTTGAGGTCTTTAATCCATTTGAACTTGAGTTTTGTGCATGGTGATAGATATGGATCTACATTCATTCTTCTACAGATTGACATCCAGTTATGCCAGCACCATTTGTTAAAGATGCTTTCCTTCTTCCATTGTATACCTTTAGCTCCCTTTTCGAAAATCAGGTATTCATAGGTTTGTAGTTTAATATTCGGGTCTTCTATTCGATTCCATAGGTCGACTTCTCTGTTCTTATGCCAATACCAAGCTGTTTTCAATACTGTTGCTCTGTAATAGAGTTTGAAGTCAGGGATGGTTATACCTCCAGAAGTTCCTTTATTACATAAGATTGTTTTGGCTATCCTGGGTTTTTTGTTTTTCTATATAAAGTTGATTATTGTTCTCTCAAGGTCTATGAAGAAGTTTGATGGGATTTTTGACGGGGATTGCATTGAATCTATAGATTGCTTTTGGTAGAATTGCCATTTTTACTATGTTGATCCTCCCAATCCAAGATCAAGGGAGATCTTTCCATTTTCTGGTATGCTCTTCAATTTCTTTCTTCAAAGACTTAAAGTTCTTGTCAAATAGTTCTTTCACTTCCTTGATTAGAGTTAACCCAAGATATTTTATGCTATTTGTGGCTATCGTGAAAGGTGAAGTTTCTCTGATTTTCCTCCCTGCTTCTTTATTCGTTATGTATAGGAGGGCAACTGATTTTTTGGAGTTGATCTTGTACCCTACCACATTACTAAAGGTATTTATTAGCTGTAGGAATTCTTTGGTAGAGCTTTTGGGGTCGCTTATGTACGGTCTCGTATCATTTGCAAATAATGAAAGTTTAACTTCTTCCTTTCCAATTTGAATCACCTTGATCCCCTTATGTTGTCTAATTGCTATTGCTAGCACTTCAAGCACTATATTGAAGAGGTATGGAGAGAGTGGACCACCTTGTCGTGTTCCTGATTTTAGTGTGATGGCTTTGGGTTTCTCTCCATTCAGTTTGATGTTAGCTGTCAGCTTGCTGTAAATAGCTTTTATTATATTTAGGTATGATCCTTGTATCCCCAGACTCTTCAATACCTTTATCATAAAGGGGTGTTGAATTTTGTCAAATGCTTTTTCAGCATCTAATGAAATGATTATATGTTTTTTCTTTCAGTTTATTTATATGATGGATTACATTGATGGATTTGCGTATGTTGAACCATCCCTGCATC